CAGGACGGCATCACCTGCAGTTGGTGAAAAGGAGATGTAGAGCTGGGTGTCATCGGCATATTGATGACATGAAGCCCCACACCCCCTGATGACCCCTCCCAGCGGCCTCATATAGATGTTAAACAGCATTGGGGAGATGATCGACCCCTGTGGAACCCCACAGTTGAGACTCCACGGGGCCGAGACACTCTCCCCAAGCTGCACTCTCTGGGGACGGTCCCCCAAGAAGGAACGGAGCCAGGCAAGTGCTAAGCCACCAGTTCCCAACTCGGAGAGCCTCCCCAGGAGAATACTGTGGTGAACGGTATCAAAGGCCGCTGAGATGTTGCGGAGGACCAACAGAGACATTTTACCCCTGTCTGCCTCCCTCAACAGGTCATCGTGCAGGGTGACCAATGCCGTCTCTGTACCGTGGCACGGCCTGAAGCCCGACTGAAACGGATCCAGGGTGTCTGTTTTTTCCAGGAATGCCTGAAGCTGATCAGCCACCACCCTCTCAACCACTTTGCTCATGAAAGAAACACTGGCGACGGGGCGATAATTGCCAATTTCGTCCGCCGCCATATTAAGTTTCTTTCTTATGGGCCTAATGAGTGTCTCCTTAACGGTAGATGGGAATCTGGCCTCAAGGAAAGACCCATTTATTATTACTGTGGCCCATTCTGTTGTTATCGGCCTGGCTGCAAACAACAAACTAGGCCTTCCCTATCAGACTCTTCCCTGAAGAGTCCAAGAGACATGGAAAGCCAGGGAGGAAGAAGACATTTCCTTAATGGCCACTGTTGCAAAATAACAGAAGCGGTACTCAGTATAACTCAGTCACAACCATCTGGATCCCATGCTGCATTTAATTTTATTTTATTTTTAATCTCCATCCCATGCAGCTTTTTCTCTTTGTCACAACCCTCCTTTGCTCCCCATTTCTGCATCAGAATGTCTTGGCTTTTCAGCTAAAATATCTTTTAACAATGTGATTCTCTGCCATGAAATAACAGCTTCATGTCTGGGCACGGGAAGAAATGCCTGCTTGGATCACGGGCCATCTATTTTTTTTAAAAAAATTAATATTGCACCTTCCCCCTTGGAGGAGATTATTGTAAGGCGGCTTACAACATATAATTAAAAAACAGGTTATTTTTTTTAAAAGTGCCATACAAGTGGTATTAAATAAATTAATAACCTCTCCATTTGCGCCTTGTTTCAGCTTGAATACCCATTTGCACTGAATGGCTTTCTTGTGCCGAATGGCTTTCTTGACTGGTGTTAGTTTAGTCAATGGCTAGATCTCATTCTTGTGCAGTGCTTCTATCTCTTCTGTTGCAGCTTTTCATAGTCTTGTGGCTTCAGCTGCCAGCATCTGCTTAATTTCCTCCCAGGTCAGTGGCTTGCTTATCTGCAATAATCTTGCGATGTAGGACAGGACACACCTTTGTTGGGTCATGATGAACATCTAGTGGTTGGTTCTGGAACATCCTGTGGCATAGGTGCCTCTTCAGTTCAACAGCCTAGACATGCCCATCTTTGTACTGTGTATGCCATCTGTGTAAATCTCTCTTGATGTACTGTTCTGTTTGTGCATCACCACTTTCCTGCTCAAGTTACAGAGGGACCAACACACTGATCTTCTGTTCCTCTTTTGTCAGCTTTCTTTTTTTTTGTCTTATACTGATTTCACCTGTTTATATAAGTTCATCACTTTTTATCCTTTGCTGCCAAGAGCATAGGGAAGCAAAATAATCTGTTCAAATAATCTGTTCTAGTCTAGTCTGTGCCTTTTGTGTTTTGGTATATAAGCATATGTCAGGCTTCCAAAAATGGTGATATGTTGCACATTTGGTACTATAGCATGCCATAGTTCAAATAGCATTTGTGATGCCTTTGGTTGGCAATCTTCTGGATATGTGTTACTGTCATTATTGCATCATCCCAAAATTTGTTGGGCAACTTTGCATCCATAAGCATGCATCTGCTTACCTCCAAAAGAGACCTCAGCTTTCTTTCAGCTATTCCATTCTGCTCAGGAGTGTGTGGAACAGTTTTCCTGTGCAAAACATCTTGTTTCTCTAGGAAAGCCTGTGCATGATGCAAAAGGTACTCACCACCATTTTCTGTTTGGGGTGTCATGGGTTTTCGAATTTGTTGCTCCCCATGGCCACATATTTCTTCAGCATCTCATGTGTCTCACTCTTCTCCTTCAGCTGGTAGATGATCTATTATGTCCCAGTGATGGGATACTGAGTGGCCCAAACAAGTCACTATGTATTAGATCTAGCATCCTTGTGCTTCTTCTTAATCCTTGGCAGGAATGAGGGATTAACACTTCTTTTTTCCTATGATACAGTTTAGGCACCTGGCTTTCTTGGTTGCCTCATGTGGATTTATCTTAATACTTGTAGCAAGTTTTTGGTTCTGAAGCTCCAGAATTGCTTTTGGATCTCTGTGGGCAAAATCATGATGCAACAGCACCATGCTGTTGCCATCTTCTCTCTGAGCTTGCACTGTGTTGTTCTGCTGCTGTTCCTCTAAAATACTCGTTTATAGACAGCAGTTATAGATTTAACTGCCTGAAAATACATTTCACCATCTTTCATTACTGTGCGCTGTCCATTTTCAAAATGTGTAGAATAACCATTATAATCCAAAGCTGATATAACGCATTACATTTTGGTTCAGAAACAAACAATACATCATTTAGAGGAGTATCACTCAGTTCATCAGGCAGTTAACATTGCAAAATGCCAGTTTTTCCCCCCTTCAATCTTCATGGAATCATCTTTAGCAACTTGAATATTTCCATTGGATTGTTCATCTAGATTTATAAAGAAATCTTTTTTTATATATATGTACAATGACCGGTGCACCTTGAGTGAATGATTCAGTAATGCAACTTCTGTTCACAATTATGAGCCATACATTTTCAGCCAGCCTTTCCTTTTGTCTCTGTTAAGAGTCAAGCTCTACATATTTTCTGCAATCTCTTGGTTCTTTTGACTTGAATCTAGTACAGCTTCTATTGGTTGAGAAATGAGAAATCTTGTGCCATGTGAACTGTCTTCCCGTAGCTCCAGCAGCAGCATGATCAGGTGCAAGGTACTGTATGCTCCTCCCATTGAGCATCAAATCTGAGCCACTTTCAGCTGAGGTTTCGTAAGAGCCTTTTTGGTCCATGCACTCTTTGACAACACAAACACTATTGGAATCTTAGCTGTTTGCTATACAAGATAGATACAAAAGCATGAAAACATTCACCCAATGATGCTGTGAGAAATCCCGTTTGCTATTTATTAATCAATTACGTCAGTTAAACTTAAATAGTCAAACATTGTTAATATAGCAAAAATGAGGTTTTCACAATCTTTGTTGTTAAAACACAGCCATACAAGTTCCATAGGAAAAACTGCCTCTGATTTACAGCTGGAAAAACCATAGGACCTCTCAAGTACTTTTAGGATGTCTTTGGTAGTTTAGCAGCCTTTAATATATATTATCTGTTTACCTGAGAGGTCATGTGAAATTATTGTTTTACCCATGGAATACTCATCTTCCCATTTAGCTTTGGCCCATGCACCTGTTGGTCTTTGTAAACAATCATGCACATTTAAAGCTTTGGGTTTAAACTGCATAGTCTCTTTCCACTGAGATGTTAACTCTGGAATTTCCCCAAAAATGACTTGCAATGATCAAGGTCCATTTTACCTCTTTCTCTTTCTGAGCAGGTTTGGTTAGGAATCTCAGAAAAAGAAAGAACTCGTTCTCTTCAGCCAGTTATGAGGAGTTTTTGATTAAAAGGCTGCTGGATGCAGGGGGAAGAGAAGAAAAAAAAATCACAAACACTTCAAAAAAATAACAAAACCCAAAAAATACTTGTTAGCTCTGTTTGGTTCTCTGGGCCCATAATGTACTGCAAAGTCTGACCTTCTGGGGGAAAAAATCCCTTTTGCTATATGCAGTAGAAATACAGAGTTCCCCAGAAAAGAATTCCTCAGTTTCACTGAGAAGAATAGCTATAAGTTCCCCAGAGTCCATCCCTTTCTCATTAGCTGGCACCTGAAGTCTCAATAATGCATTCTGAGACATTTGTAGAAGAAAAAAAATAAAAAAAAATAAAAAAACACATCTTTACTCATAGCTGTTTGAAATCACAGACTTGTGCATACTGCTTTCTTTACCGCACATAGCAACCAACTGAACTGATTGATAGCAAACAGACAACTGCGACCAACCCAGGAAAGAAGGAAAGAGCTCAGTAGAGAGGCAGGTCTCTCTTTAAAATAAAAGGCTGGAAGAAACAATTGGTTAGTGCTCAACAGACAGAAAATCACCTGAGCCCAGAAAAGTACCAAGTCACACAAACCATAGACAGCAAGTGAGGTTGCAAATACAACTCTGACAAATACTGCACTGCATTGTAACGTCTCTGCAGTACGTACTTCTTAGCAAGGTGGGAGGAAGTGCATGAGACCGTCCAGGACTACCAAGACAGGGTGAGGGCTGGAGGACGCTCATTATGAAAACCAGGGAATTCAGAATTATTGCCCATTTTGTAGCTCAGTTAGATTCACTACAGGAACATGTACCTAAATAACAGTGTGGTGGTTTGCAGCACTTAAAGCACAAAGCCCCCTCTCAGTGTTACACTGTGTTCTGTGTAGAGACAGGCCCATTGTCACAGAATTCTAGTAAGGCCTTCAAATCTTCCCCTAAAAACTTTACAGTGTGAAAGTGTGAAAGTACTGTAAACGGGATTGTTCCGCCCAGTTCCATTTTGCCAGCAACCGTAGAATAATACGTTCTTTTCCCATTTAGACGGTATTAATCTGTCAGCCAAACGCTAACAAAAGAAACGCGCTCTCGTTTAAGCTTGCTGAGAGGAGCAGATTTACCAGAAAACAAATACATAGACCTATGGCTGTTAGCACATTTCTGGGTACGGTACAAGGCGCACAGCAGTTACCTTGCCTCCCTCTGTGTGGGCTGCTGGGTTCGGAGCTGACCTTCCTCTTGACCAGTTCGGAAGGTGGAGCCACGTTAAAGGAAGCATGGCGTGACAGACGCTCTTTTCTGTTAGCAGAACTTTGGCGTGGAACATGCAGTGACCCTTCTCCTTCTGTTACAGCAGCACAGGTTGAAATGTCCATCTTTCCACCACCTAAAGAGAGGCATTCTTGCTGAATTAGTCAAAGGACAGCCCAAAGTCACTGTACCGCTTGCTGGAGGCTGAAAAGGTACACCTTTGGAGTATGTCTCCAAGAATCCACAGTCAGTAGTGATGCTGGCTAAGGGGATTCTGGGAGTTGTAGTCAAAACAAAGGTAACTCTTCTGAGATGCAGATCATCATAAAACATATGCGTTTGTCTTCCAGAAATTACATGCTCTATACTGACAAAAAAAACCCCACCTAACTTACATTTAGTGTAACTGTATCTTTACCACAAGCTACATGCCCATCACATGCAGCGCCAAAATGCCTCTGTACGTGCATCATGTATGTGTTTGCACTTTGCTTGCTGAGATGACTTATTTTGGGGGGCTAAACACTATGTTCTCCCTTCTCTATTATTTCTCGTGCCTCAGCCTTGATGAGTTGAACATTCTGTTTGTACATGCCTCAACATTAGCTTATTGTTTGCAGCATAAGCCAGTTCCATTTTATAATAACTTGTTTAAAAAGCATAAATACCTTGAAATAGCACCTGAGTATCCCTACTGGGGGCGATGCATGGATTCGTTTTAATGTTAAGATCTTGGCTTTTTGATGATCTGTTGGAACTTGCAAGAGTTAATTTTTGGCCTACAGCTCCAAGAATCTCCCCGGCAGGGGCCATGTTGGCTAAGGGATTCCAAGACACATTGTGCCAGAAAGTAAGTTTTCCAAGCTTTGGTCTGATATCACAAAGTCTCTTTTATGTAGAAACAGAAGATAGGTTCAGAATGCCTAGTGTGGCTGACAGAGGAATAGGAAGGGAATACCTTGAAATAACATAAGGGAAAGAATATAACATAAGGGAAAGAAAATTACCACTGTCTTCAGTGAATTCCACTGGCCCAATCCATTTGAAGGCAGGCTTACGTCCTCTTTCTTCTGTTACATGCACTTTCTTGATGAGCCCAAGACTTGTCAGAACATTGGCAATATCATAGAGTCTTCGTACCTTTGCTAAAAAAGTAAACATTAATATAAACAGTCTTTGAACATATATTACAACAAAACAGACTAAAGATCTCTCACCAAGTTAAAAAAATGTCAGAAATCTGAAAACTAAAATTATGGGGAATGGTTATGAAAATAAAATATATTTTAAGGCATTGCAGTGGGTGTTCCAGACATCAGTTGTCTCCCTAGTAAATTAATGTACTGGGTATGAAAGGGTATATCTGTGTTCTTTATAAAGAAAACAAAATAAAAATAAATGTATACTGTAGTCATTAAATTCAAATTCATTCCTATGTAAATAAGTACATTTATTTTAATCAAGTAGGATTACAGGATCTAAATAATATTCTTGGCATTGGAAGGGGGTGCTAAACACCATGGGATCAACAAGGAATTAAGAGTCTGGTAAGGTGTGTTTTTCTCCTGAGGGGCTTCCTGTGCAGAGCCTAATGGATACACTCATAACCCCTTGCAACTCCCACACAGCTTAATTCTGCCCACCCATTTCCCCTGTCTTCTTTGTGAGATGAAAATGGCTGCCAGAGTCCTAATTCATCATCTTAAGAACTTGAACCGGCCTGTCAGGATTTTGATTTCTTAATTAAAGTCCCAAGAAGTGTGACTGGCAGAATCCCTACAAACCTCTAGGGGCTGGAGTCCAGAAATTCTGAAAATCCCATGCCTACCACCTGCATTTCCATCCAGGACTGGATTTGTCCTCAGACCTGAGTTTCTACATCTTTTATCTAAAGTTTGAACTGGATTCTTATGTGGTGGTTACTTCCAACACAGTCAGGAGTATTCAGGTGTGAACTCCACAAACAGTATCCTCTGTGAACGAATAAAAAGAGCCATATCTTCTCCATCTTGGTTGTGGCCTGCTTAACTATGAAGTGGAATGATGACAAATGGGGAGCAGTGATAAATCAGCTTTCACGAAAAGATACCTGCTGTGATCAGTGAGTGAAGTGGAACCAAGGTCATCTTGGACTGCTTAATTGCCAATTAGTTTCGGCTATTTTTTAAAAGGGGGACATGCAAGATTGCTCATAATGTAAAAGGTTTTGGGAAAACTAACTTATACGTAATTAGTTGTGTATCATCCTTGTTGCTGAGGGCAAAAGTGCAAGAGCAGAGCAGTGCAGGACCATTTCACCTTGAAATGTGGAGGACTATACCTGTGGAGTTAAAACCTGCATAAATCTACTGTTTCCTTGTAAATACATTAAAACGAAAGTAAATATGCTATTTGGTTCTGTCTGTATGGCAACTATTTTCCTTGGTGACTGGATGACAGTTGACCCCCTCAGAAATAATTCTTACTTTTAAACTTGCTGTGATCCGCTGTATCTTGGCTTTCTTCTATCAATATTTTTGCTGCTATGTCTAGAGTGACTATCTTGGTCTTGGAGACGAGGAACAGCATGACAAATTTTTGGCTCATAATCCTCAATGACTTGTCCTTTCTGCTGTTTGCAGACGCTGTATTACAAACAAAACCCAAGTCTCAGCATGTTACATTTATCACAGCCAAGAAAACATTATGAAGGCTTCTTGTGGGGGATGAGGGTGGGAGAAAGAAGACAAAAAATATTGGAAAGCAAGGTTTTTTTTAATGAGCAGAAAATAATTGCCTGTAACAGATGGACAGTTGCACTTTAACTCTCCGTAGGAAAGAGGAATGGCAGCAAAATGATACCTTGAAGATGTGCACTGGAACATGAGGCATTCTCAGCAGAATGTTTATCTCTATATTACAAAAAGAAGTAAAACTAGGCTGTGTGGGAGATGTTCCAGAACTGATAAAATGAGGGCCAGCAAGACGTAGCAAGAGAAAGGCCATGGAGAGGGACTGGACAAATAAGTAAACACAAAACCACAAAACTGGGCTAGCACATGGCTGCATCATTTACAGGAAAACAGCATCTATCTTCCAAGAGACAGTTTATTTTTCAGTGCAGTAATTCCTTTCAAAACCAAGTATGTATAAAACAGCACTGTACACACTTAACACTGATGATGGCAAGATTCTCTCTCTACTTGACTAGTATCCTCAGTTAACTTACCAGACGGGCAATCTGTCTCTGAGAGGTCAAGCAACAGTCGGTTTTGGAAATCTAAAAAGGTCTCTTTTTTGTGCTCACCAAATCGACACTCAAGGTCGAGCTCTTTATGTTGGAAATAAGCCATGAGTTCTTCATATTTTTGCAGCTCTCCTATTTCCTGGAGGTTTTTCAGAGTTTGGCTCAAGCTGTGCCGACCATGCCAACAATACTGATTCTTAGCCACTCGACTAACAAGATCAAGGGACTCCAGGACATTCACTATGTCATAAATCCGTCTGCGTTCAACTCCTAAATGCAGAAACAAAAGGAAACAAAGAGAATAGAAGCAAAACGCTGCTTTCCTTGTTCTATGACGAGAAGCAATGGATATGGACTTCACAAATATGGAAAACTGTCATAGATTGCCGCCCCAATATCTACTATTTCAATGTCTTTACATGATACATGCATAACAAACTTTGAAGTGCTACAGTTCTGGCCTTCTTATACTGTAATTGATAAACCTCATTTAGGAGAAAAGCAATGTCACACTACGATTTTGAGAAAAAGGATGGTCCCTCATGAAATTTTAAGAAACATTGCTATATTGTGTCATTGCTTGCCACAATGATTAAGATGGGTTACATCAGGATCAAACTAGAATTCTTGGAGATCAAGAGTGCTAACTCCCTGGGGTTGTAGATCTGAGGAGGGAATCACAGGTAACCCTATTATTTTATTTATATGCTATTGTTTATTTATATTGTGGCTCACCACAATTAAAATTATACAATAATAAGAAGTTAAAAATGCTATACAAAACTGTATTTTACAAAAACACTGATCAGGATTTAAAGCAATTAAAAATATTTGAAAAATAAGAGTGTTCCCTGGACACTTACTGCTTAAAAACCTGACAGAAAAGGAAAGCCTTTACCTGATGGCAGAAGGGCAAGAGGGAGGGGAGCAACCTGGCTTCTTGGACTCAGTACATTTCAAAGTCTGGGAGCAGCCACTGAGAAGGCCTTCTTGCTGCTAATTTCCAATACACAACAGACTGACATCCCCTAATCTCCCTGGCCTCAGGAGAAGGGCAACCCAAGAAACTACAACAGGCTTATATGCACTTCCTCGACGTACTTTCTTACCTCAGTCAGAACAACTGGTTCTGAGGAACGCCACGAGATTCTACTTGTGCCTATCTGAACTTGGCCGACAGCCTCTTGCCAGGGCCCCTTAGTCAAGATGAAGAGCCAGCTGTAAATGCATCTCCTGCTGTTTTGTGGCTTTTCTAAGTGATTGAGTGATTTTCTTTTCATTTTAATATAAGTTTCTGACAGTGCAATACTGCTGTCGGGATCTAGTTTTTAGTAGGCTAGGGAGGATCTGATACAATGCTCTCCACCCCTGGATGTACCTCAGAGTAGGCCTCACTATACGTAATGAAATCTACCTTTTGAACAGACATGCATAGGAGTACAACACAATACAAATTAACAGATCCTGTTTCACTCAGGTGATACCTTGCAGGAATAAAGCTGTGTCTTACTACAATGTCGACAGGAGCCTGCTTAGCTGCTGTTGAAGCAATTTTTGCTCATATGAGTACGTACATGAAAGTGAAACTGTTATGTAGGGATAACAGTATTTCCTACACTTGGAGATAACCTAGATTCCTATCAGGTCCTGCCTTGGCTTCAGCTTGAGAAAGGCTACACAGCCAATCTTGCACACGTAGGTAGTCACGTGATTTCTTAGAATAATCTCATAATTCAAAGCCTGATTGCCAAGTAATTTAAGATATATATTAACGTGTTCTCACTATATACTGTACTAAAGAACAGCGATCCACATATGAACAGGCTGCTGGCTACACTCTTCAAGATTAGTGGCACTCATGAGAATATTAAAAGGACAAGCGATAACCACATTGCACTAAAACTCCCATTGACACTGCCTTCTGTGGACCTGCATAAATGTTCCTGCAGTCAGAGGGTCTCTATTTTTTCCCCTTTGTCTCTCAGTGCTAAATAATGTATAATACTCCTCAGTTGAAAACAGCATGGGGCTCTATCAGTCTTTTTGCAATGGCAATTAAAACATCTGTGATGATCCTTAAATATGTAAGAACATTCATAAATTACATTCCTAAAATGCATTCACTGTACTAAAGAACAGCGATCCACATATGGACAGGCTGCTGGCTACATTCCTAAAATGCATTTAAGTCCTCATAGAGAGAATTATTGAGTGCTGAATGCAATTTAGTCATATATCGAAGGAGTGACAGCATGACACACTTTGTAGGTAGTCACAATCCAGCCATAACACCACTTCAGGTTAATTGCAACAATGACTACAGACTCCTAATTTGTCCCCTAATATTTGGAGGATTTGGGGCTGCTGGTTTCCAGACACATGGTCAACTTGTTGCTACGGCATGCATCCTTTGTGAAAAATGACCCTGATTTGAGCATCCATAAGACTAACAATTCACCTGAAGACAATTTATGTAGAACCTGCACTCATATATCTATTAGTCATAGCTCATGTGATGATTCACATCTGGGTTGGAGCACTGCTTCTATGCCACCAGATTAATTTTATTTTAGAGAATAATAAAAAAAAGCACTGAAGTTTCAGGTGAGTGATCTGTACATACTTTGGTTTTAGCAATATATCTGGGGCTGGGGAGCCTCAAGTGGAAAAAAACTTAGTGCTGTGCATCTGGACTTTTTAAAAATACTGTCAGTTCTCATTACAATTTTCATTAAATTTCATACAGCATAGGGCTATGCAACTCTATCTTCACAACACTATGTCAGAAATCTATTTTGAGAAAGCCTGTTACATGAGCAGCAAAAATGAAAAACCACTACACACACATAAACAAGCACAGAGAGAAAACTATGTTATACCGCCAGTACTAAGAACTTTTACATTTCAGTAAAAAACTTCCTTAGACCAAGGAGTCCAGTCCTGACCACTGTGCTGGTCAAAGGCTCTCCTGGGTCTCCAGCAGAAACCTCTCCCATCATCTTACATATGATTCTATTGATCAGAATTCCAAGGGCTTAACCCTGGGTTATTCTGCATGTAGATCGTGTACCCCAGCAGTGAACATGCACAGCCCTCATTTTCATATTTTCATCATAAATCCATTAGAGTCGATCTACTGCTTACAATGAAATTTACTTCTAAACATGTTTAGGTTACACAGTAGTCAGTACTAGGATGCAGTACAATAGTAGTGGGGGATGCTCATAGAAGGAACATTAAGCTCTAAGGTCACAAATCTTAATAACATGCTGTCAAGTAGACTCTAATTTACAGCAACACTTTTCAGGGTTTTTTTATTTATGTTTATTTATTTTTACACTTTTATACTGAGACATCTGCCCTGGGGCCAGACCAGGCATAGAACACTCAGAAGTGATGGACCATTCTCTTCTTTTGGGGGCATTGTGAGATTGCGCCGCTTGCCGAAGGCCACACAGATTGGCTCTACTCACAGGAAGCATTGTGGGGAATCAAACGCCTCACCTCCGGCTCTACAGCTGGGTACCCAAGTCACTGGGATATATTAATACAAATCTTACATCCAGTTAAATGATAAAAATATGTTGATTATCTGATTTAGTGCCACAAACTCACTTCATCACAGATCCTAACCAAAATCCTATTAGGTTCCTCAGCCCGTGTAATGCAATCACCTTTTATCAAGTTAAGAAATCAGCATCAAGATCCACTGCTGTGCACTGGGCCACACAACTTGGCATCCACCCATGACTGCCTATGCTGACATTTTAACTTGCAGCATTTTGCCACCAAGGTTAACAGACTGCTGGTGCAAGAATGCAGTTTGATTTTGGACATTTTATGTATGAAACCTGTTGTGATTTATAAATAATACTGGTGCAGGATTATTTCCAGATTCCATGCACATCGCTGGGATTTCATGCCAACAGGTAAGCACAGCAACCAAAGTGACAGAATCCAGTGCCAGCTACCATTCTCAATATAGAGTGCATTTTGCTAACAACCAATCATTTACAAATGTTCAGATGTCTGAAGATTTCACTCCATCTGCAGTTTTAAGCAAAATGATCCCATTACATGTTTACAAAAGTAACAGGAACACTGGACTGCAGCCTTTAGCCCTTTCTTGTAACTTTAGAAACTTAATAAAATGGGTTACTTTTTTCCCCTTTACAATAAAGTACTGTGAGCTCTACCAGCACATGCTGAGTTGACGGCTGCTCCTTCTTCCATTGCTTGTTACAATAAACGACAACACCAGTGGTTGCAAAAAAACAAGATTTAGCGGTAGCTTTCTTTATTTGCATTAGCCATATGCCTTTGCAAGTAGTACATAAATGGGATCTATTGATGGAGATTTGGGGAAAACTCTCAAACTACCAGTAACAAGCTCCAGACTAGTTTTTGTCATTGTCTGGCATATAAAGTCAGGGTATTCTAGAGTCATGTGCCCTTTCCTTCCAGTTACTTACACCGAGGGAGGAGGCAACCCAAAGTCCTCCTCACCTGCATCACCCCTTCAAGCCTGAAGTCTGGGGCTTGCAAGAGGGAGAGGTAGTATGGCTACATGGAGGGCAGTGGTTTCCTCCTGGTCTGCCAATTTCTGGCTCGCTGACGTTGCATCCACCAGCATGACAGGTCCCCAGGGCCTGGCTGGACTCTGAGATGCCTTCTCTCACATCGTCTGCACTCTTCCCAGTAAGATGGCTTTGGAAGCACCCAGGGGGTCTGGTGCTTTCCCACCTCATCCCAGAGGACTCTCAGCTGCACAACTGCCCCCTGGCCAGGGGCCCTCCTTGTAAATACATTCCCAGTCCCACAAATGCCTTGTGAATGGTACCTTTAAAAAGCCACTACATCGTTCATTAGAATGTAGTCAGTATGGTTGTACTTTACTGCTTTGAATATGTTTCTGGTGTTGCTTTTGTATACTGTCTTTTAGTGTAGTATTTGCTTGATCCTTCTTAGTATTTGTACGCTTACTGTTTTTACCTTTAAATATTGTCTTTTAATTATGTAGGCCACCTTGGGTCCTTCTTAAGAAGAAAGGTGGGTTAAAAATATTTTAAATAAAAATTGTTTTCTTGCATACTTACCAAGACTAGAGGCCACTTCATCCAGAGATATTGTCATCTTTTCTGCTGATAAAGGGTAATTGGGATAGCGAGCCAGAAACTTCTGGCATAAGAGTCCTAAGCTTTTCTGCTTTCTGCTGGGCCTCTGCTTTTCGTATTCATCATCTACACCATCACACTGGAAACAGACACACATTTTAAACAGAACTCCAATGATAACAGAGAACAATACTAATAGTCCATATATCATGTACAAAATGTCAGATCTTGATTTCCAGTAGAAAAATGAAGTATGTGTGGAAGCTACAGTGCAAACCTCAAAAAACAAGTTCTTGGACATCAAAGTGCCCTTCTGGATGCTATTAGACTCTACTTCCCATCACTGCTACCCAAGGCAGAGGATGATGGGCATGGTAGTTCAGCAACATCCCAAGAACTACAGGTTCCCAAGCCCTAATCTGGATTTTATACCTTTTCATCACTGAAGTATGGTTTCCAATGAAAGTAGAATCTTGCTGCAGAAAGACTGAAGTGTTTTGTTGGTCCCTTGAATATCATGGGGGAAATTGCTAGTTGTGGGGGGGAACCGAAAACCCTCTCTGCACTGTTTGGGGGTCCAAACACCTTCAAGGTATCCCACACTGGTCCATATCTGAGCAGACCTACAAAATCTGTAGACCTAGAAGAAACATAGCATCTCCTGCATCTCTCGTCTCTCCACTTACCCTCCCACTGTTCTCCTGTACTTTGGCGCATCTTAGCAGATGAAATGAGTAGTATGCACACTCTGGAACAAGGGTGAAAAGCAAGAGGGTATAGGATAAGTGGTGGCCCTTGAGGTAATCATGCAGCAATTCAAGGACTAAGCTAGCTGGACATTTAATTTAATTAGTTAGTTAATTTTGATTGGCTGTCTTTCCACTTATCTCTGGAGAGAAAGAAAAATGATTTATAAACAGCTTCAAGCTTTTGTAAGCAGTCAGAATAATAAATTCCTGCTCATAGATGTACCATCTAAAAGTGAAAATATAAGGGTAAAGAAATAAGGGAAAAAGACATAATATCAAAGGTTATTTTGAGAGGAAATATAAAGAACAAGAAAGAAAAGATGTCTGCAACAATCGAGAAGCCCAGATTGTATGCTATAAAAAGCCAGCTTTTATAGTCTCTTACACTTTTGTATGTTCAGTCAGCCATTACCTGAGGGAAATCTTAAGAAAGTGGTGGGAATGACTCCAGTTAAACAGCCCCAAGGGCAACTGCTGTGTTCTGCAATGCCACAAGTGAGCATTTCTTTAAAAGAGACAGTTATCAAAGTAGCCACAAATATTGGAAGAAACTACAGCTTCCATTTCGTTCAGGGAACTTATGAAAGCTGTGCTCGCTAGAGAGCTCTGGAAGTGACAATTGCCAATGTGTCTCCAAAGGACTATCTTTAATGAACCATACATAGTGTGGGCTGAATAGCTAGATTCCTGCACTAAGCAGGGAGTAGGATTTGATGGCCTTTTAGGCCTCTTCCAACTCCATTATTCTATGATTTAGAATCTGTTCTTTTATTTTAAAGAACTTGAAGGACAAGTGCCAGTGCCCATTCACATTGAGTGACATTTTCTAAAAACAGGGATTACTGTTCTACCGAAAAGCAGCAAGTATAATATAGCTGGGAAACATTTGGTATATTGAACCAAGAGAAAGTAGTATATAGAGAAATTCATCACAGGACCATTAGAAAAACTGTTTAATCCTTCCAAAGAAAATCTTGCTGAAGATATACGGAAACGAAAGGTATTCTTTTACATGGATTCTTGCTTTTAGGAAAAATCCAGGCTCTTAATCTCTTCCAAGCAGTGGCCTTATGAAAGCAGCCCAATGAAGCGGGAAGCACATTCCACCTGCTGCTGAAATAGGCAGCATTTCTGCTACCACAAATATAAGTGCCCTGATAAAATTCCACAGTGTGCCTCGGGGTCTCCTTTTACTTCCTTCCCTCTCTTCCCCAAAGGGTAGGAGAAATTCTGCTCTCCCTGCATGTAGAGTGCAGAGGGGAGGGGTACTGTGGCAGTTCCTGCACCACAGAATACCAGCGAAGTTGTTGCGCAATCTCAAGAATACCCATGGTGGCAACTGTCACAGAGGGGCACCACAACTCAGTGAGTCACCACCTTTTATTTATTTATTTGCATCATTTATAGGCCACCTTTCTCCCAGCGAGGGGATCCGAGGCAGCAATGCAATCCCACCCTACCACCTCATAATACCGCCTCTGCACTCACCTGCACAGACAAAGGGATACAACATTACAATCCACTGTGAGAACTTTCATATCAAAGTGGTTTGATTAAATAGAAGAATTACTGAGAAGAAATGAAGCAGAACAATTTTAGAGAGCTGTCTATACATCGCTGAAGTCCCAAAAGGAAAATAAATGGAAAATATTCACTTTCAGTAAGTTAGGTAAAGGTTCCCCTTGACATTTAGTCTAGTCGTGTCCGACTCTAGAGTGCAGTGCTCATTCCCGTTTCCATGTCAAAGTCAGCCTTTGTCCGAAGACAATTTCCGTGGTCATGTGGCCATCGCGACTAGACATGGAACGCCGTTAGCTTCCCACCGAGGTGCTACCTATTTATCTACTTGCATTTTTACATGCTTTCAAACTGTTAGGTTGGCAGGAAATTACAAGCAACTAAGCAGAAAGATGTATGGAAGTGAGAGCTGGACCATAAAGAAGACTGACCGCCGAAGAATTGATGCTTTTGCATGGTGGTGCTGGAGGATACTCTTGAGAGTCCCCTGGACTGCAAAGAGATCAAACCTATTTGTTCAGAAAGAAATCAACCCTGAGTACTCATTGGAAGGACAGATCCTGAAGCTGAGGCTCCAGTACTTTGGCCATCTCATGAGAAGAGAGGACTCCCTGGAAAAGACCTTAATGTTGGGAAAGTGTGAAGGCAAGAGGAGAAGGGGACGACAGAGGATGAGATGGACGGACAGTGTCATTGAAGCTACCAACATTAATTTGACCAAACTCCGGGAGGCAGTGGAAAACAGGAGAGCCTGGCGTGCTCTGGTCCATGGGGTCATGAAGAGTCGGACACAACTTAACGACTAAACAAAAACAAACAGAAAGAGAGACTGCAGTGTGGAAGCTATATATTTAATGCTCAGATAGGTTATTTTTTCAAAACCAGAGGTCACTTGAAATAGACCAAGAAGAGGGGGAAATAGCAAAATAGCTTCCTGAAGTCACTAGAAGGCACGAGGCAATGTTTTCAGTAAATGATGATAACGATACTCATTCTCCATTAGACTATCATTCTCTTTGTATGGGGAGCAAAAACCAGAAGAGGTCAGAGTTCCCGTATGCATGAAGCTTTCAAGTATGGCAGGAAACACTGATTTGTTAAGGTTCCAGATTGCATGGTTAGCCTCCATGCTTAGCAGAGGTGCTCCATTACAATTTCCTTCAACTTGAAGACGAAGGTATGGGGTGGGGACAGGAGGTGGGAGCAGACAAATTCAGGCTCTTTTCTCATGTGCTGTCCCAACTACCAGTCTAGGGGTCTCAATGGAATAGTGATGGCCACAGTTTCCCACAAAAGGCAACATCCACAATAAAACAGGAAGACAACTTCTAAAAATAGTCAGTACAAAGTTTCAATGAAATGTTAGGAATCCATTAGAAAGAAGCACTATAAGCAACAATTTGAAAAACTCTTTCTCCACTGGTTAAAATGAGATGACTAGATTATTTGCTGAGTCATGTACAGTAAACCTAGAGGGATTCTTATGAATCACCCCGAAGAAAGCAACAACAGAGTCTTTTTTTATATATAGAAATACATAGACAGTGGTAATTATTTTGTTTCTGCGGATGCCAAACTATGGCTAATTGCAAATAAATCTGCTGTGGCCTACTTCTTACCTGCAAAGAATGAAAAACGTTGTTGAATTCATTGTTTTCAATGGGTCTGAAGAGCTCTTTTTTCTTTTCTCTGTCCCGCATGTCAGGACTAGCAGCACTAATAAGCATCTTTAAGTTAGCTGTAGGGGTCCATGGTTCTGTCAGGGGCCTATCAGTCAGCTTAACAGGTGTAATTGGACTTCCTTCAGGGATACAGCTTTTTTGCTTTGACAAATCAATGGGTTCATTTTTCATTGGAGTCTTTGGGATCATTCGGGGTCGATCAAATATGTTTTCCTGTCAGAAAAAGAAAATAATTTAGAGACAAGTGAGAGACAGGGAAGCAACAAATACATACTACTGTACTTTACTAACCTATACCCTAAGCTTCCAGAGCTTTAGCATATATTAGCAATCCATTGTTTTGTGAATGAAAAATGCTGCACCACTGCAATGCTTCTCAAATCTTGTGTCATTGTTTAGATACTCAATTACTCACACCAAGACCTGGCTAAACTTGCCAAAGGAAAAAAACACATCGTTCAATCAGACTTGCAGTGCCTGTTTTGCTGGCTACTTTTGTAAGGTCTGTAGTATCATTGAGAGTACCAGCCATGCTTCTGCAACCTAAGCGGATTGATACTTGCAGTGGTAAACAATTTGGTGCATTTTTTTTCGTTTACTATCAAGAACCACATTGGAAATTACTATGTTGGAGGGCAACAAATTATTTACACATTGCATGCACTGTCTATATACTGTCAATACACTGCCCTGTCTTCTTTTCCTTCTTCACTTCTATGCAAGCCGCATGCAAATTTCACTATATAAAAAAATGTTAAGGGATGGTTTATGCACCCACTGAATTAAACTTAAATCTGTAGTATCAGATTTCAATGACTTCATGAAAACTTGTGCTCTAGAGCAGTGGTTCTTAACCTCTGTTACTCGGATGCTTTTGAACTGCAACTCCCAGAAACCCCAGTCAGGACAGCTGGTGGTGAAGGCTTCTGGGAGTTGCAGTCCAAAACTCCTAACCCAAGGTTAAGAACCAGTGCTCTAGAGCCAACACATGTAAAGAGAGATTAGTCACTTGATCGCAAAAATAATTTTGTTTTTAGCTTAATGGGAAAGGGCCCCTAAATACAATTGGAATATGCCTTCCCTGGAGGGAGGTGCCTAATCTCTCTTCCCAGTGCCTTATTGCTTTCTCAGTGTAAACTGAACCTCCAATACCTTTGGGTGGGGGAAAAGTGAAAAAGTCAGAGGCATCCTTCCCTCACTGCTACTGTCAAATTCAGAACTATACAAAATGAACTAAGTCAAGCCAAGAACTCTGGAATATCTCACTTAACAGATATTCTGAGTTCACACTGAACATTTAAGAAGCCATTGCAAATAACAAGAGATGCATTTGCTTTTGTCTTTGTTTGACTTGGAAATACTTCTTTAGGTTCAAAGTATCATTGTTTTGACATTGGCTCACAAAAGACCATTTTTACTCAGCTACATGATGCTAAATATCGTGTCAGGCTGAGCCCTTTACAAGCATAAGGAGTTCTGTTGAAAAGTTTTAGCCAATGAGGACTGCGTTGACAGGATTGCCTATAATCCCATCCCCATATTGCAAACACCCTGCAAAAATCTGATTACTGTAATTAACTGAAAGTAAATGATTCCTTATGTCCTTAAAAGGGCAACATTTCAGAAACTGGCTTCCGAGGAAATCAGCAATAAAAAAAGATGTTGGCCCAAACTAAGAATTAGCGAATTATGAGTGAAGTTCCCACTAAGGTCTCGCCCACCTTTAAAATATACCAAACTGAATAATTTAGGCACCCAGGTCTTTCTTCTTACCTTTTGTGCATTTTCCCCATCTTCATCTGTAAAATCTATTCTTCCATGTCCTGGGCGGATCAGATCTTTTAGTGTTAAACAATTCACCTCCATCTGTAAAGTTTGGAAGTGGCACAAGATCTTCAGCATCTGACATGAACTCCCACCTAAAATAATTATTTTCAGACCAAGTATCCTCCCCTCTTCTCCTCCTCCAAAACAACATAATGTTGACCTTCACAAAGATTCTCCGACCTTTCTCCTCCCCACCCCCCAAAGAGAGGTCCCATGGGGTGGGGGGGGAGGATGAATTGTTTGGAAAGATCTCCAGAACCAAGAGAAAAACGTTGCAACTGGCAATGGGTCGGCGGTGCGGGACGCTCGTAGGAAACGGGACCTTGCCTTGAATCTGGTCTTTGAAGTTCAGAGAGTTCGCCCAGGGATCGGTTACTTTTGGCGCAAAGAACCTGGAGGAGGAATCCCAGCTTTGAATGGAGCGAAACTCACTCGAGTGCCCTTTTCGCAACACAAGGCGGGGACAATTCAGTAACTCCCGTACAGTGAGCGCGGGAGAGTCCCCTGCCCAACCAGGGCGCCCTCTCCTCATTCATCAAAATATCCTGATCTCTCTATTCACCAATCAAGACTGGGGGGAAAGACTTATTTTCTTCTTTCTTGTCCTTTTTACCAGGACGGGACAGCTCCCGTGTAACCCATAGAAATCAATACACGCAAAGTCTATGCGAACCGCCTCCCTTTTTCCCGCCCCCAAAAAGTCTCTCCCCCCACCAAACCTTTAAGGACTTACGTTTCCCGAGATTTCCTTCTCAAAGGGACGCTGCAGCTCCTCCGGGCCCTATCAAACCAGGACCGCGTCTGAAGGGCATTGGGGTGTCTCTCAAGGAGCTTCAACTGCTACTTCCTTCCCCCCCCCTTCCTCCTCCGACAGGCTACGTGCCTATACTGGCTGCTTCGCTGCTGTCGTGGAGATTCCACTAGGCGCTAAACCTTCTATTCTGGCGCCCTGGAACATATTTTTACAATCCGGCCAATCAGACGCTTCCTGAAGGGGCGTCCCCCTGGCGTTCGCGCCAATCAGCTCGAAGCCTAGGTCGGAGAGTTTTGGCGCTAGTCTCGGCGCGTTCTGTCTCAGGGTCCCGCGCCTTCGCCGGGGCCGCCTGGACGGTTTCCCCGCCTTTGCTGCCGCCGCCGCCGCCCCCCCTACTTTTCCCCTCCTCCCACCTTGGGCTACCTGGGAAGCCTGAGGCGGGAGGGACTCGACCCCGAGGAGGAGTGGGCAGGGCAGAGCCGCCCCGGCGCTTTTGTGAGGGCAGGGCGGGGGCCGCTTCAGTGCGGCTCATTGAAGAATAGAAGAAAGCGAAAGGAACAGATGGGGCCGTGAAACCTAAAACTTGGGGACGCTACGAATGGGTGGCGGCGGCGGCCTGATGCCGTCCTCCCCGTCTGGCCGCGGCTGCACAAGCCTTTCAGCTTAGCAGCTTTTTCGCTTGCTGAAATTGGCCCCTAAGCTTTTAGGGGCTAGGGAATGCACCCACGTACATGCATCCCGTGGAGGTTTTACCTTTTAAACTGTGATTTCACCACAGGAGGAGGTTTCATGATGTTTGTAAGCCGCCCTGAGAAGGTTACGGTACAAACAAACAAACCTGCTGTCGACGGGCAGATTAGTGTTTGTGAAAACTACGTGAATTGAGTCAGAGAGTAACTCTCTGTGGTGAGGTCACAAGTTCTCTTGTGATTCCACACTTTCACATTTCCAAACGTGTATGTCCTGCTCTCTCTAATCACCAATCAAGACTGGGGGAAAGATTTATCGTGTAACCCCACAGAAAAAGAGATCAATAAATGCGAAGTCTAAACATCCTACAGACCTGATACAGTACATCAAAGTTGTATACAGCAGGTATACAATTGTGTTTATCTCTTTCAATCACTACCAAGAAACAGTAACTGTCTTTGATTTCATAATTTGAATCCACTATATGGATCCATAAGGACGTGGTGGTGCTGCGAAGGACATGGTGGCGCTGTGAAGGACGTGGTGGCGCTGCGAAGGACGTGGTGGCGCTGCGGGCTAAACTGTAGAAATCTGTGCTGCAGGGTCCGAAGACCAGCAGTCGTAAGAGCGAATCCACACGACAGAGTGAGCGCCCAACGCTTGTCCCAGCTCCCGCCAACCTAGCGGTTCGAAAGCATGCAAATGCGAGTAGATAAATAGGGACCACCTTGGTGGGAAGGTAACAGCGTTCCGTGTCTAAGTCGCACTGGCCATGTGACCACGGAATATTGTCTTTGGACAAACGCTGGCTCTATGGCTTGGAAACGGGGATGAGCCCCGCCCCCTAGAGTCGAACACGATTGGACAAAAAATTGTCAAGGGTAACCTTTACCTTTACCTATATGTATCCATTGCCAAAAAAACCCCAATTTGTCACATACAGTACTTACATGATGTGAGGTGGGGTTTTTTTCATTTTTTTTTTTAAAAAATCAAAATCGAAATTTCCTTGAAATAAAAGCATGCATTGAACATAGCAAATTTGGCCTACAAGCAGTTTCATCATCAGGTATGTGCAGGGATGCCTATCAAAGTCTGGTTAAAAAATTATGTGCTTATTTTGAAAGGGGAAATAATCTTTATAATTTGTGTGTGAGGTCAATCCAACCATATAACACCTATGGGAGATTTTATCTGTAATATGTAGCACGCTGGCCACACATAAGTTAATGTGCTCAGTAGTTCTAAAGCACTGCATGTTTGAGAGATAGGGAGCCTTTGCCATCATTACTATTTTCATCAAACTTGCACAGCCACCTAAAACAGGCAATGGAACCTATGCAATATCCTAAGGATATTCAGAACTTAACAACAACAACAGCAATATAATAATAATAATAATAATAATAATAATAATAATAATAATAATAATAATAATAATAATAA